AAGTATTTATCATCTCTTCTTCCACTTGTGGCTTCATTCATTTCCATTTGTGCCTCTTGATAATAGATATTCTTGGTCTGCAACACCATAATTACAGTGAGAATTCCACGAATTCTGTAATACCTTAGGTTTTTCAGTATCATTTCCAGTAAGTCTTAGCCTTTCATAACATTACAGCAAAGATTGTCACAGGATTGCTATAGTATAAACTTCAAATTTTAAAGCCAATGCCAAGAAGCAAAAGCATGAACTGAAAGAGTTCTGGGCTGCAGAAGATGCAGCATTTATCTTTTACACTTTGCAATGCAGGCAGGAGAAAAAACATTAATTTAAAACATTAAGTTATTAATTTGCAGTGTTTTGCAGTTATGCTTTGAGGCAGATACTAGCACAGAAATCAACAGCTTCTGAGGAAAGAGCTTGGCTGGCTGAAGGAATCACTGCATCACTACTGCTGCTGCATTGCCTCTGAAAGGGTGTAGCACTGTGCCTTCCAACTTCATACAGCTGCAGAGCTTGCAGTTGGTCATTGTAATTCTGACCTGTTTAAACAAAGGCAAGAAATTTACCTGGAGATACACATCTTCAGAAACTGAGTGTTTGCAGTTTGCTGTCCCTGCTGCCTTTCCATTTCCTTTCAAGATTCTGGGTGAAATCATTGTTTCCACCAGTCTCACTTAGGTCAGTGCTGGTAAGCAACAGAAACAGTAAATGTGGACATGGGCATGTTGGGCAGGATGTCAAATTCAACAAAAATTAGGTATTTTTTTTTCTCTGCTGCTTTTTTTCTGGACACTTCTTCACCCACAGTGATTTGTAGGTGCAAGTGGGTGAGTGCAACAGCATCCAGGCAAACCTGGCACTGTGGGGAGGAAAATAAGTAAAGAAAATTACTAAAAACCCCAAAATCAGTTTACTCCAAACCCCAAAATCAGTTTACTCCAATCGATCCAATATAAATAATTCTTCTGAACAAATAATTCCAGAAACCTGCAGAGAACAGTATGAAAATCAAGACTAGCTAAAGGCTATCTGGATGCAAAACTAGACAGGGTATAATATTTCTTATAGAGAGGAAAAAAAACCCAGTGTGCAGTCAAGCCTACTCCTGCTGATAGACCTTGACCTGCTTCCAAATGATACAGAAGGGAAAGCTGCATCAGAAACAACAAATCCAGAAACTGAAGGACAAGAAGCAGATGGAAAACAGTTCTCACTAATCAGCAATCACCTGGTGAGGACATGTCAAATACCTGTCTCTAGAGCAGAAAACCCCCCAGACAACTTCCAGGCAATTAATAAGCTGGAGAAGTCAGTTGACAGAAATAACTAAACCCCCATCTTCTACAGGCTCCTTCTCCTTTGGCCTCACCTATTCCACTGCCACAGCCCTGTTTAAGAAGTGTTCAGTAAAAATGAAGAACCTGTGCAAAAGGTTTTCCCAAGAAATTATCCCAGCCACAATACCCATGAGTAACACAGCAGCTCTCAGCCCGATTTCTCTCAGTTCCCTACAACCCCACGGCACAGCAAGGTTTTAAGCTGTGGTTCCATGAAAACCCCTTTCACACTATCTGTAATCCCTAGAATTATATTACTGTACAAATAAAATCACAACTCTTAAAGCATGCCTGAGACTTGGCTCTCTACTGAGCTGTGTTGGCAATGGAAAGAGACATGATGACACCATGAGATGTATCGATGACATCATGTATGACCAGGCTGAACAACGTCCTAAAACACTGGGCAGGTTGTAACCAGTATTGAGTTCCTTTTCCTGAGGTTTTTATCCTTGGCCCAAAGCTTTTTCACTCTCACACAGCTCACTCTTAAGACAGCCCCTTGCTCCTGCTCTCCATTCTTCAGCACAATGACTTCAGGTGTGTATGCTCACACCATCTCTGTGACACTGCAGCAAGAGAGGAATTGCTAGCAGCAGACAGCTTTTTGAACCTAGATTTTATGCTGAGTTTGGAAGAGGAAAAACATGGAAAGAAATAACCAGGAATGATAGATAAATAAATAAAACCAAAGCTCATTTGTTTCCAAGGGTTGATTTCTCTTTTCACAGACTTACATGAATGCTTCAGTGAGGTAGAAGACTTCATTTCACAACATCACATTCGATTTTATTTAAAGAGCAACTTCAGCTGAAGTATTAAACACGCAAGTGACACACATGTACAGGATCACTTCCTTAGACATGATCATGATGCTTGAGAGAGACTAACTCACAAATTTTATACTTGAAAGAGAAAATTCATAAACTAGTATTTTGATCACAGACCTTAAAAAGACACAGTGTCAGAAAAAGTAGGGAAAAGGAAGACATTTGGAAGATTTGAAGTTGTAGAAGAGGCTGTATTTAGGAAGCAGCTTGGAAACAACAAGAAAGGTGGATAAGGAAGTAGGAAACGAAGAACCACTAAATAAGCCATTAAATCTAAATTGGAAGAGAGAATTTTAACGGATGAGACAACAATGAGAACAGAGGAGGAATAGTTTAATAATGAGGTAGAGCAAAAAAAGTAGACAAACTGTATAGTTCTTAACCAGGTTTGTTGACTGAGGTGACGATTTCGGAAGAACGTGTCAATGACGGTATAAAAATCAAGGCACAAACAAAAGTCCAAGCACCAGCACTTTTCATAAAATGTAAAAAGAGAAACTTGTGAAGCAACAAACACCTCCAAGGTTTCAGAGAAAAAGCTCTGATGAAAGGAAACACAAGGTGGTATAAACTGGGCAAACCAAGAGAATTAAGAGTATGAGGTAAAGAAAAGCAAGAATTCAATCAGAATAGGCCTGAGTGGAGATTTTACACCCTTTGGTCAAGTATGAAGGAAAGAGAAGAGGTCAAAACAGTAGCCTTTGGCATGAATGGAAAAGGCAGAGATCAGTCATCCCAAGCAATTCAAAGAAAAACCAGTCGGAAAGCAGAGGGCAAAAGCAACCCAAAACCAAAACCATAACGAAGACAAACATTCACTTGCAATAAAAGCTGCTGAGAAGTCAGGAGCAGAAATAAGGCCCTTGTTCTAGCTTCACATCTCTAATAATTTGTGAGGGTTCTAGTTAGTCGGCAACCACACAGAAAGCCAACCTGGAAAGGTTCAGAAATCCAGGACAACTGGTGGTGAATACAAGAACAATCTTCCTAAATCAGAGTTTAGAACATCCTGAAGAGACAAAATACTGATAAGAGAGGGGGTAGGGAGAAGAACTGCAGACCACATGAACACAAACAAGCACAGCACTAAAGGAGAAGAAACAAGAACCTTGAAGAGAAGAATCTTTTCAGTGCCTAGTCTCAAGTTCATAGCAGGAAAGGATTACACCAATAAAGTTATGTATAGTAAGAAACCGTAGATATTCCTTCCTTACCCCCCTTGATGAAACTGTTTTGCCAACAGTACTTTTTGTTCTGAGGCACTTCTGTCCCAGGCTGAACTTGGGTTTGCAGCCCAGTGGCTGAGCTGCTCAGCCATCCAAGCCCCGTGCCATCTGAAATGTTGCCATAAAACTTTCAGGCTCTCCCAGAGGCATCCAGCTGCTTTGTGTCCAGGAACTCCTGCTAAATGATTTCTGTCATCCACCCAAACCCCCCACATGCCCCTAATGACAAGCAAGCAGCATGCTGCATTTGCAGCAACAGAAATACACGTCACTGAGAATACAATCACCCAGTTTGAAGACTTATGACCTCTATATGCAATACAAGCCCTACTACAAAGCAATTTCCCAACTTCATCTTAAGCACATGGAGCTGCTACAAAGTATAAGGCAGTTGAGATGCATACAGGAGTATGAAATCTACTGTCCTTTCACAACCAAGGGAACAGACTAGATAATGTAACAGCTTCATTTACCCTCAAACTTCTGCATGTAGCTCTCCTGGAAAGCAGTTATATGGTAAGCTGACCTTGACTTTTATACCTCAGAACATTTGTAAGTGCACCTCCAAAGCTCAGTTTAACTGGAATTAGGTGATACATCATTCACATGGATAGGAAAGACCCAAGAAGACTTCTGCTCAGTGAGAATTGCTGGAGACACAGCACCTCTAGTTTCAATAGAGGGAACTTGGAAGGCGCTTAGATACAGTACAGTTGTGCTCAGCACAAACACTTAAACCTAAGAAGAAAAATGACATCTTTGCAAACTTCACTATTACACCAAGTAGCAAACGGGTGAAGTATGAAAGTACAATTTGTCATCTGCAGCCACAACATTTACAGATAAACTCCAAATAGGGAGGCCCGTGGATCAGCTACATTAGCTGCTTGCTGGTGACACAGGGCTAAAGCACAGCATTATAAATAGAAGCCCAAGCTTTGACATTGTGACAACAAATGAATGTCCTTCCATAATTCAGAGAAAAAGAGCAGTTTTCAATTGAGGGGCTTTCTATCATACAGGGCATTAGAGAGCTAACTATGAAGCAGCAGCTAACAGCCATCAGTAGTACATTACTCCATCTTTTCATGGACTATTTCAAAATGACTGTCGGAATTATGCCTGGAAAAGAGGACATCCATGTAACAGCAGCAGATAAACTATCGGTTTCATTAGCAACCTTCTCTTGAGATTACTCAGAACATGCAAAACAGCATTTGTGTTTCATTTCAGGTGGAGTTCTAACCTTAAGCTCCTTAAACGTGGGCCACAATTAGTTCCTGTAACTGAGTACACCAATATTCTCTTCCAACCCTCTCTGTTCAGCTTCTTTTTAAGGAGCAGTAGGATCTGTGCTCATCTCACAGAAGCAACTGCACTTCTGACCTTGTCAGCAACAGAGATCCCCAACACAGATCTAAGGAGGCTGCTTTGGCATCAAGCTCAGGATACTCCAGTTAGAACTATTTCCCCTACCTTGTTATGGCAATGGGAAACCAGTCACAGTACCACCACACTTAATGAGAACGCTAATGAGAACTTAATGAGAGCTGCAGCGTCAATTCATGCTACCAAATAAATACACTGACAAAGGCTCAGCCAAGTCAATGTGCTAAATGGACAAGCAGGACATTCTCTCCCCGAATAAAGATCTGGTTTATGTGACGTGTGAACACCTGCTGATAATCCACTTTGGGCCTCCTTTTTCTCCTTGACTGGCTTCTTGTACGGGTACCACCAGCACTGGCACCCTCTGTGCGGGCAGTCCCGCTGCCCACATCAGCTTCACCTCTGGCAGCCAGATGTGAAATGTCACCTGGCATCTTCTTCTCTCCAGCTCTGCCCAAGCGTTTCTGCCTCTCACGCTCATCTTCTGCTCTCCCTCGTCCTGATCCAGCTTTTGATCCCAGCGTCTGAGAGTCATTTGTCAGGGCTAGCTCCTCTGAGACAGTCTTTGAGTCAGCTCCCTTCTTTACTGAGGACTCCTGCAGTTTGAGTCTGCTAAACAGCTGTAAAAGAACATTTGTGTATATGACCACATTCATAAAACAAGAGGTGCTTGTTCACAGCATTTCTATGTAGTATTTGCATCTACAATCCCAAATCAGAGCTCACAATACATAATTAGTGAGGAATCTTTACCAGCAATAAAGACTATGTTTTCTTGCCAAAGTTCAACAGTGACATAAGGTGAACTCATCTGCTGCATGCACATGAATGCCTTCATATGGGCACCAAGGACTTTAATTTGGGAAACAATAATGATGTGTTTGCATTTAACTCTGGTCCAGAACAACAGACAGCTACCAAGTTGCCCCATTAACTCACTTTCCCCCACACTCTTGTAGTGTTGTCAGATAGTATTACAGAGATTTCCACCCTTGTGTCATGAATCCCTAAGGTAAGGGGCCTCATTCAGCAAAGAGTGTATACTGAAAAGATGATGGACCTTTTGTGTTCCCCCAAACAAACTAAATGATGCTGCGTGGGTATTCTGGGAGGTGAGCAGACCACAAACAATAGCAAAATAATAAAAGCTAGAGCAGCAGATCCAGAGCACTGTGTGAGCTCATTAATCTAAGGATTATGCTGAAACTGGAGAAGAAACTGCTTTTACTCTGGCAGCAGGCAAACTTTTATGAAATACAGACAAATGAAGAAGATTATGGTTAGCCTGTCCCTTTCCCAGCAACAGGACGGAAAACCAATCCCTGTGAGAGTGGGCTGAAGGAACAATGACAACTTGATTATTTTTAACTAATCTTTAAAAAAGGAAGGGTGGGATCTATCAGAAAACAGATTGAAATGGCACGAGTTTGAAAGCAAATTCCTCATAATGAAACTGTTTGGTTTTGTGACACTTCTCTGATGTTCGAAAGGCCCAGAGCTATGCCATTCACAGGCACAGCCCTGACACATCTTTTTTTCCCCTTCATTGTTCAGAATTCCATCTATCATCTCTTCAGTTCTCAACTTCATAAACCTCTTTCTTTGCAGCTGGATCCTAGAGAGTGTCTTGCTTTGGAGCAACGTGCCAAAACTTGGGCTTCACAGTACCTAGACTAGAAGTTCAAGTGACCACACAGACGTACTGTTTTGTCGGCTGGAGACAAAAACTGTCTCTCCATGAACACAAGTATCCAAGTTAGACACTGCCAACTGTGCACAGGACAAATGTGAACCAGATCAATCACGGGTGCATAAAAACACACTGAACAAATCAAAAGCCATCGAGTGAGCTGATAGAGGGTCAGCACATTGCACTACAGTGGCAGCAGCTGTGATCTGGTATCAGCAGCCCCGAACTGGAACTTCTCCAATACTGAACTATGACCAAATTACTTTCAAAAAGGTCAGAAAACTGTTTTGTTCTGATTTGAAAACCAGTTCATTTTGCAGTCAGTCATCTGTAATAAAAGAGGTAAAGTATTTCAAATACAAATATAGTTTTCCAATCAATGCTCCCCTTTTACTGGCTTGAAAAAGGAGATACCAAAAAACCCAATGAAAACTGGCGATGGCTACCCACCCGGGTTAGCGTGAGCTGAGGCTCTGCATAGAAAGCTTTGCCCATCACTGGTTTCCTGTATGTCTCATCCACGTCTGTCAGGGCCTAGAAGAAGATAAAAGAAACAGAAAGGTCAAAATTGAAAGAAAACATGAAGCTTTGGACCAGCTTTGTGTCACAGTGCTATGAAATTATATTCTAGCTGAGAGAAAAATCCATCCTAGGAACAAGTTGTGCTTTGAAGCTGGTTTCTTAATCATCCAAGTTGTAGTGAGGTATAAAAGCACCAGCAAAGCCTGGCATCTGTCCTGCACTACTTGGAAAATCTTTGTGAGGCTGCAACATCCCCACCCCCAGTCCCCGTTTCCAAACTTCTCACAGCTCCAGGCTCACAAATATTTAATAGCTGCTTTTCCATCACTGTCTTTAAAATCTTCATGAGGTAAAACACAAGGAAAAGCTTTTGTCACTGACATCCCAATGACACGTTAGTGAAAGAAAACAGAGAAGTGGCTATGACTATAAGAAGACTGGGTTTTGCAGAGCAAGCTTCGGAAGCTTCTTATATTCCTCATATTCCACCTTCCTGAGTTCTTATACAAAACCTCTGAAGATGTTGGGAACTCTTCAAAGCTCCTCTCTCACCTAAAACCTCTGTAAGATGGCTAGGCACCTCTCAGATGTACCAATCCAACACCAAGCACTACCTCCATCTGTCACCCAGCAGTCAGTGCCAGAGCGAATTAGCTTTATGAACCACAATATCACATTAATCCTCTCAAAATGTAGTTTACTGAAACCTATTGCAAAGTTCAAGTTTTCAGTATAGCAGTTATAAACCAAAGATACAATTACATGGAAAAACAATTACCATATTCCAGAACTTGTCAAATGCAACCAAAAACCCTGTGCAGACTCCACGAAGCCCTTTGAAAGTGCGGATATGGACATTGATTTTTACACCATCTCGGACACAGCGATGAAGCTCCCCCAGTGGGCTGCCTTCATGGACTAAAACAGAAAGAGAACATCATTTCAACAAAATACACATACATATCTAAAACTATACGTAGGAATACACTCTATGTAGAAGTACAGCAGATCTTGGCACAACACTTGTCTTCACAGCAAAAGAAAAGAGAAGCCCTGGAGCACTGTAATGCACTGCAGTTGTCATTAGTAGATCACCAAACCTCTTCTTACAGGGGGGACAGCAAAGACTTTAGAAAAGGTTTCACTTTACATAACCTGCAGCCAAACCAGCCTCATCTGAAGATCTTTCTGCTACATTTCAGAAACATACAAAGCAATGCTAATCTTAAATAAAAGTGGTTCAGAGGGAACAGAACGTTCAGAGAGGCAGAGTGAGTTACGAAGACAAATGCCTAGTTCAGGCTACCTCAGCTTAATTACTTAATAATTGTATCAGATGTGTTCCTTTTCTTTGTAAGATTTCTGAAACAATGAATGCCTCAAAGATCTTCAACTAAATTGGACCCATTTAAATTGATGAAAACATATTGTTTCAGTTGAACTTGCAGCAGGCAGCAGAACATGCGTCAAAGATGCACAAGTCTTTGGCAAAGAAATCAAATCACTCTAAGCAGCAGCCACCAATGAAACCACACTAACCCACAGAACACTAATCCCAGACTAGTTGGGGCTGGAAAGGACCTTAAAGCGCAGCCAGCTCCAACCCCTGCCACGGGCAGGGACACCTTCCACTAGAGCAGGTTGCTCCAAGCCCCTGTGTCCAACCTGGCCTTGAACACTGCCAGGGATGGGGCAGCCACAGCTTCTCTGGGCACCCTGTGCCAGCACCTCAGCACTCTCACGATTTTTACTCCCCCCAATATCTCATCTGAATCTCTCCTCTTTCAGCTTAAAGCTATTCCCCCTTGTCCTGTCCCTACATGCCCTGTAAGAAATCCCTCTCCAGCTTTCTTACAAGTCCCTTTTAGGCACAGTGCTTTTACTCAAGGCAAAGCCAAAGGGATTCAGTAAAACATACAGCTCACCTGGCACACACAAGCCTTACCCGCACACTATAAAATCTTTGCAAGTGTGAATTATCTAGAGGGGTAGATATTACTTACTTTACAACTTCCACCTACACCATAGCAAAGCCATTCCAGTGCTAAATTACAGCTACCCGTTTGCTTGTGCAAACACAGCCCCAGGGTTGCTGTACAATTCCTTCTGAGAGTCAGGGGAAAACACTGGTCTGAAATCTCATACAGTTCTTCATACTAATAAAATATCTCAGTCAGAGACGATCTCTTGCCTTGTGCTTCAGGGACCATGCATTCAAGGTTGATTTGCACACTAGAAGATACATCCAGCGAGTGTGAAGTGCTGCCATATGACAGCTGATCTGCACTGTTTGCCTGCATGGTAATTCTTAGCCACAGCAGGGAAAGCTCAAGCAGTTGCCTCTGAATTAACCTAATGACATTTATCTTTTGAGATCCACTGTTGTCTTGCCAGCCCTCTCCAGCTGGGTAGCTGGAGAAAATTGCCTTCACACAGAGCATAAGCTGCCTCAGCACCTCTCAGCTCTGCTTATGGGGGTCTTTTCACCAGTCTCTCTGCTTCCTTCAGCCAAACTGATGAGGAACTGATGTTGTGAACTTGCAGGAACCACAGGTGACACCACTGCTATATCAGATTGATGCTTTTAATTAGAGACCAGTATTTCTTTCTAACCAAGTCTGAGAATTTACAGCATCGTATCAGATTTAGATTTTAAATTCCGGTGTTCCCTTTATATAGGAACTTTATCTACAACTTCTTGTAAAAATCCACATACTGTCTGTATTTCCAACTATGCCTTTGATTGTCAGCACCCCATTAGGCCTGGTGCAGAACACTACAGCTCTACCAAACCTAGACAATACACTCTTCCCACTTTTCCTTGCAGCTTCACCAGGGCAAACCTTCAACTTCACCTAATCAAAAGGGCACCAAAAGGCTTTCAACAATCTGACATCCACTTCTTGCCAAACAATAAAACCAGCAATGAAAGGAATTCATTTTTGCTCTTCTGCAAGCATCAAAGCCTGAGCTGACCAGGCTCTGCACGCAGCTAGAGTTGCCTGTGGCTGCTGATGCTGTTATGTACCAGTATTAATAGCTTTTCAATCCACAAGGAAGAGATGTACCTAGTTGGTTTTGTACTCAAAATCCAATCCCTCTTTGGATAAAATAAGCACATACTTATCAGGATTCTGAAGAATAACTAGAAAACTACTGTGAGCCAGAGGGCAAGCACCCCAGAAGGGAGAAAACAAAGACCCAAACTGGTTAAGTTCAAGTCCCTGTCCTCAGGGCAGACTTTAAGAGGCAAGATTAAAAAACAAAACCAAACCCAACCAACAAGAGCAAAGCAAATCAGAACAGCTGAAATAACTCAAAGCACTACCAAAGGCCTTTTTAACTGCTCTGCATTAACTGCCTGCACATGAGTTCTTTGCCCCTTTGGTAAACGCAAAGTTAATTAGGAATAGCTTCTCCTGAACTGATCCAACACAGGCACTGCTCAAGTAGCTTCCTTCTTACTTTTATGGCTGCATCTGAAATCATCCCTCATGACAGGCAAAATGTTAGCTCCGTTTTACGCTTCTGACCCACTGAATTTAGGGAACACATCACAGCTACCTGGAGCACAGGGATGCAGCAAACCGCCTGTCACAGTTAACTTTCAGAGGCAGCCACCACCTTACAACCCAGGCTTCAAATGTGGGCCCATGTGCAGTGCAGCCAGACCCCCTGCTTACAGGGAAAGCACACAATTTTGACTATAAATTATTCTTAAAACTCTCCAGACTGCTGAATAGCACTTTTGACGTCAGCTCTGCCAGTCTGCTTCAAAGTCCACGCTACCCAGCCTTTGATGCATGGATATTCAATACGTGCTCTTAATGGAAGCATGTCATTTATTTGTTAGACCACCACCGCAGTTAATTATCACAGTTGGAGGGTTTTTTTCCCCAATTCCATCACAGTCATCCAGATACTTTATATTAAGCTCCTAAACCAGTATTTAAGGTCAGTTCTTTTGGAAATCCAACACCAACAGAACCTCTGCATTCGTGCAGAATGCTGAGCTGACGTGACATTAGCATCATGCAGCGCCTACAGCAATGAATACGTTATGTTCTGGCATCTAAGCGAGGACAAAGTTCTGCTTTGGGCACTCAGAACCGAACAGTCTGGGCTTCGCCTCTTTATAAAAACAACATTAAGGTGATGCTGGTGATCAGAAGAAATATTTGATTCCAAAAAACCACAGTGTGTTTAAGTGCACTACGGTTACATCTCATTTGACAGCAATGCCATTTGATTCTTATGTCGGTGCACAAGTTGTATCCCTTCATGTGCAGGGGCTATCATCCTGACTGCACCCACAGATTTAAGGAAGAAACTTGTATCAGCATCACAGCTGCCTCCAGCCTCCCACTACTGTTCTACCATCACGGTACTAGAAATGCCAGCACTGTATTTATGTCCCCAGGATGTACAGTTAGTAACTAAGATATATATAGCAGTGCATTACAGACTCATGCTGTGGCTATGATTTCGCCATGAGCTGCACGGACTCGAATCTGATTCCTGGTTTAAAAACTGTACTTTTAAAAGCACAGCAGTATCTCACCCTTTTCTCCTTAATATCAAGAGGCTTAAAGTAATCAACCACACAGCTGAGCAGCGCATCACCACAGCGAGTGTCATCTCTGAGTAAGCACTTCGGTGAAGTTCACCGCTCCTCATGTCCGCACACAATTTTCCCAGCCTTTCACCTACCACACAAGCACCGTTTCCCACCCGAATTCCACCATCACCCCTTCCCCACCACCCACACCCCCCGTCACCGCTTCCTCCAAAACCCGACCTCCCAACTCCCCGAACTCCATCCCAGCTCCACGCCTCCGGCC